GGATCACATACACCACCATTCGTTAGAAAATTTATTCCACAGACACTAGAGTTACCATCTATGTGCAATCTTCTAGGGGGTCTGTCCATTGAACTCTATAGCAAGAACTTATGTGTTGCACTAGGTTGTCAGGAAACAACCTTGACAAGTGAGACTAGTCACTGCCTTTCGATAAGATCATTCAACATTATGATAACCTTACTGTATTATCTGTGTCTTTAGTCAGAATAAAATTGGGGCTACGAAATTTTTAGAATGGCCAAACCATATGTGATCATAAGGTCCTCACTTGATACCCTCATCATGATTCTACCATTCTAAAGACATACATCACAACGTATAATGAATACAAATTACATGATGTAGAAAAATGCATTTTATTGATAAACATTCTTACAAAGAGTCAATATTATAATAATGAATTGGCTCTAGGGCACCTACTCTAACAAATAGTGGCGTTGAAATTAACCCGCTTTCATCTCCAATATGGCACAAAAGTTTGCCACCAGCCATTTCCACTCACCAAGGTTACAAATCTCACTAATCTTGGCATCATTGGGTAAATCAAAGTTATAAATGATACGGGGGCTATATTTGAGAGTAAGAGGACCAATATTATGCTAATAATCATGTCGAAGTCTAATGTGCCTCCCATCCCCAACCTCCCACTTGATTCCCAATCTAGCCTCTCCTCTAAGCTTAAGAATATTCCTCGAAACCCAAGAGCAATCATGGGGGATTAGGATTTCCCAAACGCTTCTATTCTTAAGAAGATACGATCTAACCCAAGAAGTCTAACCCGAAATGGAGTGAATTTGGGATGAATTCCAAAGGTGCTGCATCATGGACACTTTGTTCCACTCCTTAGTTCTCATGATGCCAAGCCCCCCTTCATCTTTTGAAATGCACACATCATCCCATGCAACCTTATCTTTAGTCTTCTTCATTTCTGACCTAGACCAAAGGAAAGCCTTTAAGGAGGCCTCAATCTCCTTGTGCACTTTCGAGGGAAGAATAAATAAGGAAGACTAATAGACTTGAATGCTGCACAAGATGACTTTGATAAAGATAACTCTACCCGCATATGACAATAATTTACTTCTCCATGACTTGATCCTAGCAAGGATTTTATCAATAAGAGAAATGCAATCAATATACTTCAACTTACTTGTTATAAGCGGGACACCCAAATACTGAATCGGAAGCTCTCCTTCTCTAAATTTGATAATCTACAAAATATCATCCTTTTCCTCCTTGGATATACCAGAAAAAAAAAAAAGTTACTTTTACTAGGATTAGCCTCCAACCCCCGACCAATTCTTGAAGGTACCCAAAGCTTGTTCAATGAACCCAATTGAGCCCACATCTACATTACTAAATATCATTAAATCATCCACAAAACAAAGCTGAGTGATGTTTACCAACCGACACCTCGGATAGAATTTGAACCTAGGGTCCTTAGCCATTTTCCCCAGAGTTCGAGAAAGCACTTCCCTTGCTATCACAAAAAGGTACGAAGAAATAGGGTCCCCTTATCTCAACCTTCTAGAGTTCCCAAAGAACCCGCCCAACTCGCCATTAATAGATATAGAGAACATAGGAGATTTAATTCAAGCCTCAATCCAAAGAACAATTTTGAGGAGGAAAACCATACCTCCTAAGAATTTCAATGAGGAAGTCCCAATTAACCGAGTCATAAGCTTTCATCAAATCCACTTTCAAAGTGTACATTTCTTGCTTTTGTTCGATTTTCTCCCATAGTTGCGCACCGACTCTTGGCAAAGGAGAATATTATCCCCAATTTTCCTACCCTTAATAAAAGCGGCTTGGGCCAAGTTAAGGAAATCCGGGAGGGACATCTTGATTCTATTTGCAATGATCTTGGATATATATTTATATATAGTATTACAACAAGAAATATGCCTAAAATCATGGCAAGAGGAAGGATTCTCACATTTCGACATAAAAGCTATAATATTGCAATTAATCTCCTTAAGGAGTTTACCAGAAGAGAAAAAACTGAATAGCCCTTATCACAACATTTCCCACAATACTCCAAGCTCGTTTAAAGAAGTAGGCTCCATACCCATCGGGACTAGGGCTTTGTCATTACCAAGCTCAAACATAGTCTTCTTTATCTCATCACTAGTCACCTCGGCTTCCATAAGAGTTTCTTCAATTTGCACAATACGTGGAGCTATAATCTCATCAAGACCTTCAAAATTCCTTTCCGGTTCCTTCTCACAAAAAAGGTGTTTGTAGAAGGCCAGAAATTCCTCTTTTATTCTATCATTCTCCTTGGTTTCCTCACCATCATCAAGCTTCAAGGAAGAAATTTTATTCTTATTCCTCTTACCATTGATAGTTTTGAAGTAAAAAGTTGTATTTTGGTCACCTTCCTTAAGCTAATTAACCCTCACATTTTGCTTAGCAAGGCTCTCTTCTGCCATGCTCAACCGCTTGAAGATAAGAGCTTTAGTATTCTCTTCTTCAATAAGGAGGCTATTGAAAGGATCAATGTCCAATTTATTTTGAACCTCTAGGATGGCTTCCCTAGCTACTTTAACTCTCTCTGATATACACCAATACTCCATCCTATTGAGCATCCTAAGACCTCCTTTAAGCTTCTTTAACTTAGTCACTAATCGGTACATAGGATTTCCATCCACATTATCTCTCCAAACCGACTAAACAATCTCCAAGAATCTCTCATCATGAGCCCAAAAATTGAAGAACTTAAAAGGAGTTTTCCTAACACCCCTAAGCATGCCACACTCAGTGATGGCTGGGCTATGGTCGGACACACCTGGAGGGCGAACGAAGCAATCAAACTTGGGAAGGAAGAAAATCATTCATCGTTGACAAGGACCGTATCAAGCTTGCAAACAATCCTATTACTCTCCTTACTCCTATTACTCCAAGTGAAAAAGCATCGCATATGTCTCAAGAAATCAAGATTAGCATCAACACACATCCTACTCATATCCAAATATTCTGGCTTCCATTTATTAGAACCACCCCTTTAATTGGGTGAAACAGGGTAAATTACCCACATTATTATTTCTCTTTACTTGTGTGTGTTTATTGTTTTTGATTTTGTATCACTCTAGATTGTTTTAGTCCGGATCAGTTTGCGTGCATCTTTACTAGTCCTTCAAGACCTTAGAACTACTGGTTGGGTAAAAGCTCTAGTGGCCACCCCTATTAAGGGTTGTGGAGACTCGAACTCAGAAGCTTATGTAAACTTAGATTACTCATTTGCACTTTTACCATCAAGCCACCAAGTGGCAGTTGACATGTCCTTTTAATGAACTAATACGTTTAACCTATTTATTTTTTTAATACAAAAAAATAAAATGTTAAATAAATTTATTAGTTTAATTCTTTAAATTTATCAATTTTATTGTCCATGTCTTATTTTCAGGAATAAAAAAAGTTTTAAAAAAGAAATTGACAACAAAATTGATTTCTAGGCTAATAATAAAAATGATTTGTTGTATTAGCTTGTTTAAAGTCTTCAAAATTCCAATTTCCAAGCCCAGCCAGTGGCAGATTAATTTCCTGTATCCTGTATAACGAAAATCAGTCATGACTCATGTCTACTTTTATTGCTCCTCTGTATACATCTACTGCGGACCAGAGAGGAAAATTGGTGTGGAGAATTAATGGTTCAGCTAATGTATATGAGGCTGCAGCATCAAAAGTCTGACTTGGTGGGACTCTCCCTTTCTCCTCCCTCTGATATAAAGACTTTACTTCTTCATCATCGTGATCTGCCTTCCTGCAAAATTATTCGATCGATATTGTTTCCTTCCGTTGTCTCTTGAAGTTTTTTCCTCCTGGATGTCCTTTATGAGTTGCATTTTATATGTTCTTGGCTTTCCAATGTCTGAACAATCCTTTCGCACATATTTTGTATATATTTTTCTTTTCTCGGGAATAGCTACCTTTTGAAAACCTTTAAATTGAGCACCATACGTTCCTTTGTTTTGCCAATGCATGCAATGATTCTTATTTTCTTATGGACCATAAAACTTTCCAAGGTACATGAAGAGAAGAAATTAATTGGAAGAAATGTACTTGAAGATCTCAAATCTTGTTAGGCAATGAGCCAATGATAAACTTTTATGTCAATACATGCATAAATACTTCAACTGCACACCAGTTTTGGATCACAATCAAACTTAAACTAACAATGATCTCAAGTCAGCTATTGTATCTAAGTTCTTAGATTCTTCATTTTGTTTCCCAGCGCGATATGCCACTCACAAGTGCTAATCAATCTCAAAATTCATCTAAACCATATTTCATGACCAGTGATATCAGAAAATTAACGTCGACATATTTATTGAGTTGACATTGATTCAACCTTGTTTATTTTGGGATTGGACGGTACTACACAGCAACTTATTATTATTGTTTAAATTCATCAAATGAGGAAAATATATTGAATTTGGAATTCATCAACTATATGTTATTACTACTAGACAATTTGTCAAGCAATGATACCATTTATTAGATTTAATTGTGCCCTTTTGCATATACATTTCAGCCATTTAAACTTCTAAGAATCTTGCAAAATATATATGACCATATATATATATATATATATATATATGATCAGAGTTGTTTTAGTATTTTTGTCAACAATATGAATAAAAAAACTTCATAGATACTGGCTAAAAAACTAAATCCGTAATTAATATGGGAATTTTTGTTGTCCAATGAAGGCATTGCACAAGTCAAACCCCCAAAAAAATCTGACAATTCAATTGAACCGCACAAGACACAGGACCTCCTTAAATTTCCATTCTTTTGATTCACCTAACATCTGATCCCAATTCAAACAATTTCCCTTCTCGAGATCGCCAGAGTAAAGTGTCAAATGCCATTTACTTGAATCCCTTAATTACTCTCAACTGTCACCAACCCCTTCATCGTCTATATAACACACAACCTCGAACCAAACCTGACAGTGTTCTTTTCAGACTGAGAGAAAAATGGCAAGGTGGTCAGTCCTTTTTGTGCTAATTGTTTCAGTGGTTGCTCATGCAGCTTGCGCACGTAATGTGCCTAGCGATGTGGATCTCAATGAGCAAAATCTAGTGAGTGGTAATGCACCAAAAGAAACTACTCTCAACAATGCCCCAAATGAGCAAACTATTATGGATGCTGATGCGCCGAAGGCGGAGTCACCCGGTGGCGCTGGCCTCGCTGACAAAAAGAATTTTATTTATGGTGGCGTTGGAGGTTATGCCGGTGTGGGTGGCTTTGCTGGTGGCATTGGGCTGCCACTTCTTGGCGGACTCGGTGGCATTGGGAAATTTGGTGGAATTGGAGGAGCTGGTGGCCTAGGTGGGTACACTGGCGTTGGTGGTCTCGGAGGTCTCGGTGGTGCAGGAGGTCTTGGTGGTGCAAGTGGTCTTGGTGGTGTCGGTGGTCTTGGAGGTGTTGGCGGTGGCGCTGGTGGTGCTGCCGGTGTGGGTGGTGCTGCTGGTGGAGTTGGTGGTGGTCTTCTCCATCATCCTTGAACTTAATTCCAGTAATGCTTTGCTTTTGGTTATATATTTAAGAGTATGGACTATGGTGTTAGTGATGTTGGGTGTGTGTTGTTTGATTTTGAGGTTTCAGTTATGGTGGTTAATTTGTGTGTTGTTTTATTTTGTCGCTGTGTTTTGGGAATTAAAGTTTCAGCGGCAACAGTCTGAAGTACTTTGAATTTTATGCATGCATGTATTTGATGTTTTTGGTGAAGTAAATTTCGATATTTCTTTCTTTCCCTCTTCCGTTCAATCTAATGAAATTAACATAGAAAAGGATCTAACTCGAATGCATGAAGAAAGCTAAAATGCGACAGATTACGTGCATGCATTTGCATGGAGGATCTTATATAGGTTATATATATGAAACACAATATCTACATAAAAATACAAGGTGAATAAATTTATTACATCAATCACATTCTAAACATTCAACGGAACTCAATACAGAGATAATTAATACAAATTCAGGTAATAGATATTCTCAATAATATCAAAAAATGAATTGAATTATATATACTACACATATAAAGAATTTGCATTGGAAACCTCAAGGGGTGGGGTTGACAATCAAAGAGATTTGTTTTATTCCTTGAATTTTTGCGTTCAAATTTTAGGATCATTTATCATAATATATTGTAGTTTACCTGATCTTTTAGGCTTATAGAGTATTCAATAGATTCCAGAAATTTATTGAGATACACACAACTTGCCCGAACACCCCGTCACCAAGAAAAAAAAAAAAATAAATTTGCCTTGTAACGTCTGATAATATCTTTTTCACCGCTCCCATGTAACACTTCTAATAGAAAAGAATTTTTAAATCTGTAATATCGAAAAAAGAATTGAATTATGATTAATTTAATCCAAACTAATCTGTAAGATTTCTACGCAAGAGGTTTTTAGATCTAACATCACTCTAGCCTAGTATGTCATCATGTCTTTATTAACATATATAACAAAATGAAGGAAACTCCTAAATTAAGTTCTGATACTTTTCATCAGGTACGTATCTAATATTATATACTGTTAAGCGTATATAAACTGTATATAAAACAGCAAAGAAAAAGGATATATAAAACGAATTTAGTGAATATGATATATATATATATATATATATATATTAGCTAGTTTACGACACTACATAGGAATGTGAATGTTATCAGACAATATAGACTTTCCCCTGCGTCTGTGTACAATTAATAACGTATGAGCAGGCACTGTGGATGAAGTAATGATATTCATGCATTAGATGATCACCATCACAAGTGAAGTATATGTACACCAGCCCTATTTATGAAGTAACATGAATTGCAGTAATTGCATTGCATGCTGGAATCGTTAATATGCTCAGAGGTCTTGCATAAAATTTACTTATTACCTCTGCAAACTAGCAAATGAAAAATCATGAAAACTACCATTTTGCATGTCCACCACCTGGCTGTACGCCATCAACCATGCCACATTTTACATCTGCTCCTTTTAATGCCTTCATTGCCGCAAGCCGGCCCAGTGCCACTGCCACTGCCGGCTCAACCATATTGGAGGCCTAAGTCAACTGAGAGCCGGCACTGCCCAATGCTAGCTACTCTCATATTAATGTATGTCTTGAGAGGAGAGCACAGTATACTGAAAACTTTACTGTTTATTTACATTGTTCACTTCCTTTATTAATGGCTGGGTTATTACTTATTACACAGTCTACATCATCATTCATCACTCAATTTCAAATTTCACTTCCTATCTTTTTAAAGGCTTTATAATATTTACATCATCTCTTCAATTGGCCCAATTTTATTTGTGTAGTGAATTTCTTTTATCTTACTCTTTATTGTCTATTACAATGTTTGTATTCATTTACTTAAAAAAGATATCTTCACGCTTTTTAATTTATATATGATAGTATAAACAAATTAAAATGACATTTTATATCATAAAATATAAAATTATTTTTATTATTTCATATGAAAGTGAAGAAAAGGCTCCAGTCACTAGAGACTAATAATATTATTAAAAATCATGCGTTGAGCATTAACTCAAGTAAATTAACAAACATGAGGATGGATTTAGGCTAATTAAACTCCGGTTTGAACAAACACAATATTTTAAACTTGTGATAAGCTGCTTCAATTAATCAGCGTCCATGGCTTCCATTATCTCCACCACCGCCACCTCCACCTCCTCCTCCTCGTCCACCACCACCGCCTCCTCCTCCTCCATATGCACCTCCATAGCCAAAACCTCCCCCATATCCACCTGATCCACCACCACCACCACCACCACCACCTCCACCTCCTCCTCCGCTGGAGTTAGAACCACCATTGTCTCCCAAACCTTTCCCACCACCCCTTTCTGTACCACAAGCATCACCATCATCATAACAATTGCCACTGCCTTCGCCTGGTCCATAATTTTCACCTCCTCCTTCACTACCATCTCCCTCATCATCACAATATTTTCCATACTGCAGCCCATTCCCTTTAGCACCGGGAGTGGAGTTGGAGTTACAAATAGAAGAGAAGAAGGATAATACTATAAGACTCAGAAAAATAAACAGAAAATAAAACTGCTTCATATTGCTGCAGGAATTAAGAATTATTACGATAGTTATTTCTTCAAAAGACGATCATTTATATAGAATTTTAATCAAGTCGAGTTGCATGGCATCATGTGAATCTGTAACTCTTGTGAGAAGCAGACCTCGTGAAAATCAAATGTGTTTGAAAGGATGGGTTGATTTTCAAGAAGACGTGAATCTGACAGAGAACTGGTGTCAGTGTCATTTCATACAATGCCAGATTAGTTGTTGGAGTTTTATCTCTTGAAGTTGAGATAAGGAATCCGATTCCGCCGAGGAATGGTGGGAAGAAAGCTGCAAATTAACCCGTGAGAGGAGGTGGAGGTGGAGATTGTGCATGCAGCTGTTGGCCTGTTAAGTTGAGAAGCGCTTCTAATTATGATCTAACAAGAACAAAACTTTTCTAGAAACAAAAATAAATAAATAAAATTTCTTTTGTATGATGGTATCAAATTAACTAATGCGCTGTGCCTAATTAGATTTAATTTCATTGTAAATCCTTTTAAGATTTTCAAATATCATCGTTGAAATAATACAAGTTTGAAGTTTCAAGCATTGCAGGTTGTCAAAATTTGTTTTCCGGAACCCAAGGGGTTGGCCTGTGGCTGGTGGTCAAAGAGGTGCTGTTTCCTTTCTTGAATTTTTGGGTTTAAACCTTGAGATCATATTATAATGATAACATTATGATTTATTTAATCTTTTAAGTTTATAGGATATTTAAAGCCCCATAATTAGTTGAGAGGTGTCCAAACCTGGTTAAAAAAAGAAAATTTGTTTTCCGAAGATTTTAAACATAATTTTACAAAAATATATTTTATATGAATTTATTGAGAAAATCTAGGGTTGTGTTTGGCTTAATATTTTTATTCATATTCTGGATCCTATTCTCCAAATAATGTTTGGCACATTATTCCAGAAATATTACCCTATTTTTTTAATTACTTTTAAACCCCATAAGGTTATTAATTTCAGTAAATACCCCCTAAAAAAAAAGTTTAAAAATTAACAAAAACACCCCCATCAACCCAACTTGTCAGATTCCGGCAACCACTGTCGGTGATAGTCAAAATCTGTACAACGGCCTAACTTCTGACCAGAAATGGCCGGAAGTTCACCAATGTGGCCTTTTCTGGTCAGATCCACCACGGATCTGGCCGAAAAAGGCCAGATCTGGCCGTCGTTGACCGAAAATGTTTGGCCTTTTCCGGCCGTCGACTACCATAACAGACCGTAGATCTGGCCGGAAAAGGCCATAACGACGTATTACGGCACAGATCCGATCGGTTTGTGCCGTAACGAAATTTTTCGGTCAGATTCCGGCGGTGGTGGCCGGAATCTAGCACTGCAGGTGGTGGGGGTGTTTTTGTCAATTTATATGTTAGGATCTTTAATTAAATTAGTAAACCTAAGGGCTTTTTCATAAATTTTTAAAATTTACCTCGTAATACTCCCCTATTCAATAACACAATACTATCTCCAAAATCCTATCCAAAATACTAAACCAAACGCACCCTAGAATACCCTCAGTCACCAACTCACCCCAAGCCACTTAGAGATTAACACAAGTCAATCTCAACAAATTGATTTGATACCACAAATCACTTAGAGGTTGGCATGTGTCAATCTTATTAAAGAATCAATTTAATGTTTAATATTTTTAAAATTTAAAATTGAAACGTAGTTTCTTTCAATTACTTATTCCGTCTTCTTTCTCATGTCTCATGTTGTCCTCTCCGTTAATGGAATTTCTCTCAGCTTCCCTTACTAACTACAAGATGTTACTAACAAATAGTTTTACCACTAATTGCGAAAATTAATATATAAAACAGAGCAAATAGACAAATTCCTGATGAACATTCAACAACTCAATGCAATCACATTGGCACCAAGTGAGAGTTATTTCAAGTCGATGGACACAATACTGTTATTCCAATTTCTAAATTTAGATTTTTTCAAGAAACCTCTCAAACACCAATAGGAAACATACCCTAAACAAATATTATTCTTAACTCCAACTCACTCGATAAGCTAACCGCAACCTCAGTCTTAGGAGTTGTTTGTCTGAGTTTATAAACTCTAAAATCAAATTGATTTGTTTGTTTTTAATTTTTTTTTTGTTTATAAGTTGGACTTATAAGGGGGGAAAAAACGGTTGAGGGAGCCTACTTTTTTTTTTTTTTCCTCATAAGCACTCTGTTTATAAGCTACTTTGACTAAGTATATTACCACATTACTCTCATTTAATTTTAAAATTCCATCCTATAACTTTATTTATTATTTGATAAAATACTCTCTATCCTAACTTTAATTAATAAATTACAAGCTTTTATATATTTTATTTTTTAATTCTCGCCTCTATTAAGTCTCTTTGTAGGAAAATGCAAAATGAAGAATTAAAATTTAAATAGTCCATTAGATTTAAATAAAAATTTTGTTCATCATATTTAGAAATTAATGAAGAAACTCATTTATTTATATGAAAAATATTTTTTAAAATAAAGAGAATTATTGAAAATGTTCAAAACACTAACTACTTATAAGTTAATTTTTATAAGTTCGGCTAACATGCTCTTAATAATAAATAGGAACATCAACACAATAAACATGATTAATTAAGCAGTGAATTGGTATTTTGTAATGAAGCGACAAAAACAATATTGACTAAGAGTGACTAAGAAAACATAAAGTTGTTTAACAGAAATATCATGTCTTAGAGCATTTTCGATGGTGCTCTTTAAAATAAATAGTATATTTCATATAAATAAAGAGTATCTTCAATAATTTTTAAATATGAAGAACAAATTTTCTAATCAAATCCAATAGACTCTTTAAATTTTAGAAGAGATAATATGTTTTTTCAATAAAAAAAACTTAATAGGAGAGATAAATAATAAATAAAATGCATATAAACTTATAATTTATTATTTAAAATTAGGATACAGAGTTAACTTTGACTTTCTAGATGTGAAGAGTAAATTCACTCTTTAATGTATATTTAAAGAATAAAGAGTCTGTTAGATTCTTATTTTTATGGATAAACTCTTTATAATAAAAAGTTTGAGTCATATAAAGAATCTTTTGAAGATGCTTTTAGGGATTATAATTAAAAAAAAGTAGAGTGTTCAGAATTTAGTTTTAATGAGATTAATAGGTGTCAAATTATAAGTGGTTAGTTTTAATGAGATTAATAGGTGTCAAATTATAAGTGGTTTGTGGTACCAATTCAACTTACCAATTTGGTATCACATGGATATTTTAGATTTTTGTTAATCTAATTTTACTTAATGATGTACAGATACATGGCATTTATATAAATTATATTAAGGATTAATTATTTTTATTTTATTTTTCCTTTTTAATTTTTTAAATAATTTAATTATTGTAGAAAACTATTTTCACGAAACATGGAACGCTAACGCTTTCTTTCTCTTCCATTCCAGACGTCATTCTAATTTCTAATAGGATTAATGGGAATTGAGAAATTTATACTTCAATAAAAATCAAAATCCAAGAGGTTATCTTATGATATTTGGGCCATTGGGCTATTTTAGATTGACCTCAAATTTTCTTTTTATGTTTCCGTTGTGTGTTCATTGGCTCCCATGTTTTGGATATAATAACGGACAAAAAGAGCTCCATTTTATCCAAACAAAAATCTCAAGGTATACTCAAAACTCACCCAGGAACACCCTTTTATCTGTCTAAATTTAGAGTTAAGTTTAAGTTGATCATTGAATTTTCTGGTTATCATGGCTTCTTTTAAGTTGTCAATCTCTTTGGACTCAATTGAATCATGGAAGTTCAGTCTCAGTTTAAACCCAGTTCATTTGTCTGATAACTGTCCCATTTTTTTCAGTTTCTAGATATATTAATTTCACTAGGTGTTGTATAATCTCTACTTTGAATTGGGTCAAACATGCTAATGTTTGTGCTTCAGAAATTGGGTTGTCTAACAGTAATGAAGTAAATGAAACTGATAATGAGACTGTTTTGTGAAAAAAAAAAAAAAACAAAAAAAAAGTGATCTGGGAAATGGCGGTTTAAATGTAGAAAACCCGAATTTTTGGCGTAAAGTTAGGAGGAGAGGTTATGGGGTGAAGTTTGAAGAAAGGGATTAAAAGAGATTTGCGTTTGAGTTTTAGTTTTAGTTTTAGGAATGTTGGGAGCAAGAAAAGGTGGACTTTTTTGTTAATTATGGTGAATTGAATGTTGATTATTCTCTAATTAGGGCTAATTTGAGAGTGGGGCGATGCAATGCATTTTTTAAACGGTTTGAGATGTTTAATGATGGCAACACTTTGAAGTTATTTGAGTGGATGAGCAGGAAATTGGAAAAGAATTTTACTGCTTATGATTTGGTTCTTCGAGTGTTCGGTATGAGAGAAGATTGGGATGCAGCAAAAAGAATGATTGGGGAAGTGAATGGTGACTTGGATAGTGAGATGTATTTTCAGGTTTTTAATACGCTTATTTATGCGTGTAGTAAACATGGTAACTACAGGAGTAGCTTTTGTGTTTGATTTGTGAAGAATGCGTTGCAGGATTGATGCAGCAAAATAATGCTATGGTGTTTTCTTAACAGAAAACTAGAATTCTCAGCGAAAGATACGACTTTAGTAATATATTTCTTTCAGTCATGATTTCATTCTGTCATATTATTCTGTAAAATCATTTGTGACTATTAAGATTCCAGATTTCTGTTCTCCAAATACTGAGATTTATACATCCTTATACATAATCTTCCCCAAGTTTGACATCAAGGATTCCTTGACATTTCGACTCCTCGACTTGATTAATATTTAAGATTGTATAAGATCACTTTGTCTGCATAAGGTAGTGTAAAAATCTCTTGATAATGTAATTCTGGATTTATTTCATATTGAAATTGCTCCTGAGATTGGTTATATGCAGTTCTTTGGATGCCAAATACCTGTTTCTAGAACTTATATTTAAATTCTTCTTTGATTCTAATATGTTGTTTGTTTCTTTTTTCTGATAATCAGACTGCCTCAGTCGAATAATCCGATTGAATATAGTTTAAAAATGTCCACATGTCCTTTAGATAGCTGTCCTAAGAACATTACTTGTGAATGTTATGGTCAGATTTTCCAGAATGATTAATTTTTACTTTTTCTTCTTTCCCTCGTTTGTCTGAATGCAATTATATCTGACAACTATCACCACCTTGCAGTTGCCAACATTCTGTTTTTTTATTCCCCTGCTGGAGTTGGTTTCTCATATTCAAATACTTCCTCTGACCTCTTGAACAATGGTGATAAAATGACTGGTAATACTTATTTTACTTTGTGTCTCATAATTCTACTTTGAACTTCAGGTCATTGTTGCTTGTTTGATTCCCCTGACCTCCTTAACTTATCATATTTGATTTGCAGCTGCAGACTCCCTAGCATTTTACTAAAGTGGCTTGATCACTTCCCACAGTTTAAAGGAAGGGATTTCTCTATCACTGGAGAAAGCTATGGAGGTATGAAATATGCTATGATTTGTATCTCTTCAGTCGACAATTAAACATGTAGTTTTTGTTTTGCTAACGTTCTGTTGTGAAAGCATAATGGTATGAGACTGTACTTTTTAATATAAGATTTGTAGCTTTACATAATTAATGCCTATAATGGCTGAGGATTGTATTAAAGGCTTTAAATGTATTTGACATTATTATATCTTTTTAACTTTAAGCAATGGCATTGGAACTTCTTTTGAGTAGGCTCAAAATGCCGTAACCTGCCAGGACATTATGTTCCTCAATTGAGCCAATCTATCGTGAGGTACAACCAGGCAACGGGAGATAAAACAATTAATCTGAAGGGTTACATGGTATGGATATTTTTTCCTGAAATAACAATGGTTCATGGTCATTTGGAACAGATTAAAATGTTAATTTGCATGTCTAATGCAGATGGGAAAAGCTCTAGTTGATGATTTTCACAACCACTAGAGGATTTTCCAGTTTATGTGGGCAGCTGGTTTGATATCTGATTAATCATTCAAACTACTAAACCTTCTATGTGATTTTCAGTAATTTATCCAGACCTCAAGTTCTTGTGAAAAAGATGCTAGATATTGCTAGTGAAGAACCGGGGAACATCGACCCATGTAGCATTTCACTCCTTTCTGCATTGCACTAATGTTAGCCAGTGAAATCAGCTGCTGAAAAAAGTACGTGTGTGTACACGCTTCATGAGCCATAAACTTGCTAAATTTTTGGAATCTTCTCTTTCTACTTTTTTCATTTATATAAAATTCAGGAAGTTTCTTCTTAAACGTAAACAACATCTGAGATATAGACTTTCTGGAATAGTTTCTCATAAATTTCTCATAGAGTCATAGTGGTCTCAGAAACCGCATAATAATGTCTAAACCAACTATTACTGCATGAAGGAGTTCACTGCTATTCACATTATCAATTTTGAGTTCAAAATTGAACTGTTTCATGTTGACAGTCGGGTATATTACATGATTGAAGCTCTCAGGTGATATTCTGCTTCCCCTTTATATTATTGATTGAAAGATAGTTTGAAACTTTTGATAAACTTCAATGGGTTCATATGGTCTCAAAAGTTGTCAAAATTAACATCACATTCAATGGTGAAAACCTTTAAAAAAATTCCTCTTCCAGTGACGTCGTAATATTTGACAACTTTTCAGATCAGTATTGAATTTTTCATCATATAGGTTGTTGGTCACATCAACGAGAAGTATGATCCTTGCTCTGAGAAGCACTCTGCTGTATACTTCATTCGACCTGAGGTTCAAAAGGCACTTCATGTCATACCAGCAGTTGCTCCTGCAAGATGGGATACTTGCAGGTATAGCACATTTAAGGATATCATTAAATTAATAATTGCCTTGCTATCTTGTATTAAAAGGGAAAATTAATACCTCAGCACCTAGTTCAGTTGGTTGCAAATCCTTTATAAAAAACAGATTTGGTAAATAGTAACTGCATGCCCTCATAATTTTCTTTCTTTTTACTATTTGCAGTGATTTGGTAAATACTAACTGGAAGGATTCAGGATTCTCTGAGGTCAGTGCTGGACATTTATCATGAGCTCATACATCTTGGACTTCGTATATGGATGTCCAGGTGCACTCTGACCTCTGTTTTTGCAATTTATGTCTGTGCAGTAATAATTTTGAATGTAGCTAGTAGCTCTTATGATGACTCAACTCTTGTTTGTTCTTTCACACAACAGTGGTGATATAGATGCTGTTATCGCAGTTATATCCACCCGGTACAGCATAGTTGCTCTTAAGCTTCCAACAGTAACACCCTTGCATTCCTGGTACGATGAAGGACAGGTAAATTATCATCCTCCTTTGCAGTTCTTCCATCTCTGTTCCTCGACAAAGGAAATAGGGAATCTAGTTTCAGCTTGCAAAATAGTATTCCCCCAGAATTAACATGATCTGTCGAACAGGTGGGAGGATTGACCCAAGAGTACACCGGACTCATCTTTGTTTCAGTGCAGGGAGCAGGCCATGAAGTTCCATTGCATAGACCCAAACATGCTCTCACACTTATCAAATACTTCCTATCAGGAAGCTCAGTGCCAATCTTGGAAGAAGTCATCATCATTAATTCCTGAAGTTCATTTCTTCTCTTCTTTGTTGAAATGGATGAAATAAATACTTCACTGAGAATGTAATATTTATGCCTCTCCAGAGGGGAATCTGTAAAATTCAACGTGCATTATACTAAAATTATATTGCAGTTGAATTGTAAAACATAGAAAACATTGGGAGTTCATCTACAAATGGCCTGTTATTTATGAACTGAAGCTTGCTCTTTCACTTATTCTCATCCACTATTGAGCTTATTGAGTTGTAACAAAATTGGAAGTTTGATTATGTACTGTAAAACCAGTGACAAGATAACACAAACAAGATCATCACATTTCAGAAATTCAGACAGATATACTTGGTTTACCAAACAATGGATTGATGAAAGAATTAATTGTATTTCATTCACATAAAAATCCAATGAGTCAGATGAATCTTTGATTCATCATACATCAAATATCGATAAAAGAATCAAGTAGCCAACTAAACTGAATCAGCCTAAACTATTTGTACATCTCCAAAACTCAAGCGTCAACAGAGAGAAAATGATGTCGCAACAACTCTTCAGCAGTCCATCTATGTTGGAAATCCCTGATTAAGCACTTGCTCAAGAAATCTTTGGCATTACCTGATATATTCTTCGGAAACAAAGGCAGTTCTGAAGTGTAACCGATAATTGCAAAAAGTTCCTCTTTAGTGACACACTCCCACCCTGGTTTCCCACTCAACATCTCAATCAAAACACACCCGAGTGCCCAAATATCAGCAGGACATGCCAATGTTTTATCCTTCACCATCTCTGGAGACATATACCTATAAGTCCCCTTATGAGAAATCTCTTCCCAATCCTCATAGTCCAAGTTCTTCGCCAACCCAAAATCGGCAATCTTTGCAATCAACCTCCCATCGCTTCCAGGGGCCAGCAAGATGTTATCAGGCTTTATATCACAATGAACAATCAAATTACTGTGGAGATAATGTAAGCCTCTGACAATATCCCTTGTAAAACACCTTACTTCCTCCTCAAGTAACCCCTTGAAATAACCCTTCTTTATGTGATCATACAAACTGCCGCCACTGCAGTACTCCAAGAACAAGTTATAAATCTTTTCACTCTCACCCCTTTCTGTCTCCATGTCTCCATAACACTTAATCACGTACGGGCACTCTTTAAAGCATGAAAACATCTGTTTCTCATACTTCAGAGTGGATGCCTCCGATGTGATTGCAGTTTTCACTGCCATTTCAAAAGGCAAATCAGTGAGCTCAGGGCCTCCTCCCTTAATGGGTTGTTTTCTTTTCACCAGGAAAACTGTCCCAAAACCTCCTTTCCCAAGAAAACGTTCTCTCACCCAAAAAATCCCATTCCATTTTTCACCATTAGCGATATTCTTCACTGTCTTCTTCCTATTGAACTGCTTGAAGAAGTTTCTTCTGTTGTTAATCGCCCACTTTTTATCACGCACAGGTTTTACAGATTCTGAATGCGATGAGCACTTCATGGTTGATTTTTAATTTCGAAAGAGAAAGGTTGAAGAAATTTGAGAGAGTTTCAGAAGAGAGACAAAACAGAATTTGGAAATTTTTTACCGTTACAAAGACGAACTCTTCGCCGCGTTAAGCCGTAGCGTGAAGTTTAAGAATAATCTATGAAACTATGGGGTTTTGGGTACTTCAGATATCAACATTTTGTCCTAAAACACCCTGCGTTTAAAACTTTTCAAATTTACCCCTAAAGAGTGTCAGGCTTTAGGGTGGAACAATGGACGGGTTAGGCGGGTAACCCAACCGGCCCAAATATACCTCCGAGTGGGTTGGGCCTTCATAGGCCAACCTGATGACTAGCGGGTTGTTTTTGTTTTTTTTTTTCAAACCCATGAGGTTGACCCATGGGTTGGCAACAACCAACTTGGCGGTTGGACAAAAAAAAAAAAAAATTAATTAATTTTTTTGGCAAAAACCCTTGTCTCTTCGGTCATTTCTTTTCCTTTGCCTTTTTTTTTCTTTTTTTTTTTTTTTTCTATAAATAGGGCCTAAACTCTCATATTTCCTCATATTCCAAATTCTCTCATTCTCTCATTTTCTCTATTGAAATCTCTCAATCTCTTTGTTATCAATTTGCTCCCATTTTAATTTTTATTAGCTTTGCAATTTCCAAATTTTAATTCTCATTCTTTAATTCTTTATTTATTTTATATCCATTTTTTTAAACTAGAATTGATAGATATTTCCATCCCATCAATTTCGATGATGAAGAAAATTATCTTAGTCCCCTTGAATTTACTAACGTAAATGCAGTATATTCAAATAGTCTTGCTTTCCCATTCTCAGAATCCGATACACCTCATAATTTCCCCCTCCTCCCCATGCTGCTACAGCTCCCGATGGTTCTAGAAGTTGTCCTTGTAATTGTTGTTCTCGTCCAACTCTATCTCAAGCATAAACGAGTTGTTCAACTGTAGTCGAAACCGACGACAAGCACACATCAGACGTTTATGTGTATTTCGAAAAGTTTTACGAGACAGAAAATGAAATTTAAGTGAAGAAAGTAAGATGCAGGTATTGTGAAAATATTTATAAAGTTGATGTAGGTAATAGTATTAGTACTAGTACTTTAAAAAGACATGCTACTAAACATATGAATCAACTTAGAAATAAAGAAACCAATCAAACTCAAATAATTAATATGGGTACTACTTGACGTTATAATTATGATGTATATAAGGAACAATTAGTTGTATATATTGCTGCAACTGATCAACCTATTAATATGACTATCAGGTTTTTGAAAATTTTATAAAGCCTAATTTTCATTTATTTCTTTAATGTTTAATAAAAATAAGAAATAATTTGTAACTTTACATGCAGGGTAGCATAACCCAAATTTCAAATTAAGTGGGTTAAAGAGGGTTTGGCTAATCCTTGGAAAGGGGAATAAATTAAATTTAAAACACTAGGCAGAAATCCAAGGCGGGAAAGTGAGGCAAAATATTTTTATAATTTAAAAAAAGCGCCTTATATATAAATAAAAGGAGAGAAAACTCCAAAACAAAGAGAGTGAAAATGGAGAGAAAGTGCTTAAGCAACGAGTTGCAGACGCTAATAGAGGCGATCAAGGCTTCAGACGTAAGCTTCTCTAAACCCTAAGTTCTAAACTATTCTCCAATTTGTTCAATCGATTTTGAAATTCATTAAAATTACAGGTTGTTGAGAGCCGCGTTAAACTGCTCAACGAAGTGAGGGATTTGGAGTTATCTGAGAATTCTGACGTAGCTTATCTTATAGAATGCCTAACTGTATCCTTCACTTATTACAGATTTACAGTGTCTGTTAATTTTGAATTATTTTGATGATTTCGTTTGTAATTTAAGGCTTTTGAATTACTCGAAATTTAAAGCTATTTATTGTGTTTATAAGGTCGTTAATTTGATAGAAAGTATTTTTAATGTGATTGGGAATGATTTTGACTCCATAAAGGTGAGTTCAAAAAGTTGATACAGTTTTGTAGTTTTGAAGAAGTACTTTTTGAGATTAGAAACATCACTGAATTACTTGATAAATGTTTTATTGAAAAGTATACTTATAGCAATTGAAGTACTTATTCAAAAAGCTGTTCATAGATACTATCATAGAAAACACCGTGAACTGCTATTGCTCTAAAGTACTTAAAAAGTGCTTTAAGTATTACAAAATGGGGCTGCTTTTAGGAGAAATTGATAAGTAATTTTTCCAAAAGTGCTTTCAGTTGCTTTTGTACTAGTGCACCTGCTGGAACTTAACGAGGTACTAGACATTTTGGGAAGACTTCACTTGTTTGGATGTAACGCAGTGTATGTTGAACAAAAGTATTTTGTGTGTGGCTGCAAAATATGTAGATTCAGACCTATCTGGGTGTTTAGTACAATTTCTTCGTCTGGGGATGAAGGTATGTTTGTTTCTGTACTGTATTTACTTTGCAAGTATAGTATAGTTTCTTAATCTGTGCATATGTTAGGCAAGCATGTGGTGTGGGAAGCATCTGAAGATGACTTGTATGTCAAAAGAGGAGTCTCAAGAGGAAGAGCATTGCAGCTTCTTTTTCCAGGTAGATAAATTTGACATGCTGTTTCATTGCTTCTTCAAGACATTTGACTTTGATGCTTAAATGAATTTTTATGTTTATTAGTTAGTAATAGCTGAGAGATCCGGTATTATATTTGGTTTAAGTTGCAACTTGTCTGTAACCTTATATCTGGATGATAATTAAGGTTTCATTTTTGGTATATTAATGGTGATCTGTATTTATGAATGGTTGTACGTAAGGGCATAATGCAATGTAAAATATGGTTATGTGCAGTAAAAGCAATCTGAAATATCTCCTGTTTTAGCCATTCTGTTATTATGTTGTTGAGTGAATTTATGATACCAATAATTGGATCTTGATTCAATATCCAAGGTTTGATGATTTTGTTTTCCACTTAGGTTTACTCTTGTCACTTTCCTTGCCCATAAGTATCCTACAGTATTGACATTGATGAGACCATATTTCTATCCAAAGAGACAAAATCTTGCAAATTGCAGTTACTGGTTTTCTGAAGGAAATGGTAATAATCTGAAGTAGGAATAGCTCGAAAGCATGCCTGGTCATCTAGGAGAAATTATAGTATCAGTGTGCATTATAAGTTTGTATTTAAGGCTTTCCTATTATTCCTTTGCCTCAGGCATATGTATTCCTATATGCTTAATTTGTCACCATTATCCAGTTTGCAGAATGTTGCATGCTTACTTTCTATTATTTTTTATGAGAAATTTTGCCACCTTTCTTGGTAAGAATGTTTTGTGAAGAATGGACTTAGTGCTTACACAGAACATGTTCATTTGCATTTCATCTGAAACTTTAGCAATACCTTTCTTGAAAAACATTATCTTTTTGCCAACAATGTGCCAAATAGCTTGTACGTGTATAATTTTCTTTGACATTATATTTATCTTTTGCAGCTGCTTTCAGAGTTTCTGAGTTTCTCTGCTGATAGTTTCTCAGCTCTTATGAGATATCCTGTTTCAAACTGTGAGGCATCAATGATTATCATTGAGAAGTTCATTATGGAACAGTTAAATTTAACAAAAGATGCAATATCAGAGAGCAAGGTAACAACTTTTTTTTTTTTATTCGTATCATTAAAAAGATTTTACTTTTTTGATTTGGTATATTAGCTTCATCCATGATTGATTAGCTAAACTCTAAATTTATCATGTTAGGAATATTTATGATTAGGAAGATTCATGTCTTTACTATTCTTTTGCTTATCTTTCTCATGTAAAAGTTTGCAATAACTTGCATCGTTTTGAAGAAATTCAAGATTTTCGCTGCTCAGATGACATTGTTTGAATTACAACCTTCAATTTAAAATATAAGTAAGAAAATAATAATCAAGGTTGTAGATTAAGGGTCTAAACAAGCTGCAACCTTGACTTAATAATGATTTCACCCACTTATCAGGTGACCCAAGTTTGGCCTTGACTTATGGTTATATTCTAGAAAACTAAAAGTTGAAGATATATACCTAAATTTAGTTAGAATTAGGCTTGTGAAAATAAGGATGTAACTAGGATTAAAATTGAGAGTTTTAGTCATTTCTTCCCTAATTTCTTCACACTCTGATTATGATGTAACATTGACCTTTTTTAAAGAAAAAAAATATATTTTCTTGTTCAGAAGTTTTTTTATTGATCGTTGAAAGATATAAGTAAATTCTATAACTTTATGGGGGTTGTTTTCTTTTTACACACTATTTTGTTTTCATATGTGGATGCACATTTTGCAAAATTAATCTCAAGCATGAGGTGTACCATGGGCCTTGTACTATGCTTTATTCTTTATCATGGATTTTTTTAACACTCAATTGGACAGTCAAACTTGAGCTTGACGCCGGAATCAGTAATTGCTGAACAGATTTGCAAGCCAAGGATAATAATTGTGGCTTGACTCTTACAATTTATTTGCTGTACCATACTGTTTTATGTTGTATGAAAAGTTTTCTTCGAGAATACCATTAATCATATCCATTGAGAGGCTAGTATAATTATGATAATAGCAAAAAGCTTTCATTCTCTTCCTTCAAGAAGAAATGTTAGTTGCCTGAAGTTCATATCTTGGAGCTGAACACAGAAGTCTGATCTGTGTCATAACACAAGCTACATTGCACAGTTATTGATAAAGGGCCAAAACTGCATCATGTTTGTGCGTTTATTGTAATCTGAAGAACCAACATGGTTTCTGTTGCTGATAGCACTCTTTTATCAATTTCAACCAGATTATCAATTCAGTAGGCTTGGATATTATAAAAGTTGCACAGACGATTGTTGATGCTGTGATAAGACTTTGCAAAGAGTATTCTCAAGCTGTAAATGTGGAGTCCTGTGATGCAAGATCTGAAAATGATAAATTCGACAGCAAAGAGCCTATAGTTATGAACCATGTTGCAAACATAACAAAATGTGCCGTAGAAAGATTGTCTGAATTGGGCATCCTGGCTGCAAGTGGCGGTGGGACTCTGGTAACAGTACTAAATGTGTCATGGAAAGGTGTGGTTTCCTTGCTTCAGCTTGGCAAGGGAGCATTATCAGTAAAAGTGAATGCAGCAGATATTATAGTGACTTTGATTTCACTGGTCAATGAATCTCTTAGATGCACAGCTGAAGCTTGGTCTTCTTCACTGAAGGAAGCCATTTCTGTAAATGAAGCCAGAAGAACTTTTGTTCCAGTGAAATTTTACCTGATTAATGCTATAAAGATAGCTTCCCTCTTTCCTAGTCAAGCATATACGGTATACAAAGAGATTACGCTTTGTGTAGTGATGATCTCAAGTTTAAGAATTTCACTGAGTCATGAAAAAGGTTTGAAAGTTGCCAGCGAAGTTTTGACAGAACTTCTGGAGAGATCTTCTTTGGATTTACTTAATTCTTTACTGAATTCAGCTCTTGTCAGACAGGAGAAGCTTGAAATTCTTGACTGGTTATTTACTGAGGAATGTAACTTGAACCCTATCCATGGAGATCCAAGTAGTAACTATAGGGCAGCTTCGATTGATGAAATCTTTTCTCTGAGTTGCGAAGCGATGTCTGGGGCAAGAATGTTATTGCCCGGTCGAGTTGGATTGTTTCTTAGTTTTCTTATGTATTCTCCTGATCTTGAAGAAGATACGAAATTTGCAATAACCAGAAAGCTTGGTTGGTTTTTAGAAGTGTTAACAGATGAAGAGGTGTATTCTTCCATTCTTGTCTCCCAAATTCCAGTATTATATAGTTCTGGAAAAACTGTTGAACTAGTCTGGGAGACTCTGTTTTCAGCTCTGTTGCACGCTTTAAAAACCTTCATGATTGTAGTGTCTTCATGTCGTGCTTGGGAGGATTTTATGTTTTTCCTGTTTGAAAATTTCTTCCATCCTCACTTTCTTTGCTGGGAGATTGTGATGGAACTTTGGTGCTTTTTGGTGTGTCATGCTGAGGTAGACTTAGTGAATGGTATAATCGATAAACTTTGCACATTGATGAAGTCTTTCGTATCTTCAGAATCTGTTATTGTTCCTGGTTCTACCCTAAGAAAAATGGCACGATCAATTTGCGTGCTTCTTACTTATAGTGGACAATTTTTGGTAGACAAAGTTTACAATTATGTTGCCAATGAAGACAGATCTCAATCATCATCAATTATGTTTCTTGCTCTCCTTTTGGAAGGTTTTCCGATAAATTCTCTGTCAGATAATATAAGAAGTTTTGCCAAACAAAAAATCATTACTGATTATTGTAACTTCATTGAGAGATTTGCTGACAAATCGTTCAGTGCCTCCAGTTCTGGTGTGTTGGGAGTGCCAGTTTTTGCTCTATCTGCTTCTTTGCCGTCACTGTAAGTATACTGCATTCTTTTTTCTTAAAAATGGTATAAGAGCAGTTTCAGACATCAGGTCCTGAGTTGCATCCCACAATTATTATAATATAGTAGCATTTGCGTAAAAGTCCTGTATTTTATTTCATTTTATAAAATACTAGGCAACTTTTATGAGCATTTGATTGACCTTTCACTAAAATTTCAAATTATTTGAATGACTTCAGAGATAAAAAAATCTGTACTCCACTCATCCTATAGCTGACATTACTTTTTCACTTTAATTTATTTTGTGAAACTTCTTTTCTACATTTCTGGAAATCTTAATATGTTTTGGTTCTACTTCAGGCTATTGAGTGTTTTGAGCTTAATTGTTTTATTTATCTCCAAGGTTAAAATTAGATCTATTGCTGATAATATCTGACTCGTGTCAATAATTTGATGGTAACAATATTAAATGCTGTTATTATGTCCAATAGCCAGGTCGGTATATCTGATATTGACATGAAGACCCTGAAGTTTTTAGTTTCTACTATCCGAAGCTGTAGAAATCCTGCTGACCAGCTGATGAAGAAGCAATACTGTAAGCTTTTGAGTGAAACGCTTGGGATTATTTCGAATATGAAGCATCTATATGCATTTGATGAGATGGAGGAAGTCATCTTGGAGCTTCAGGACCTGTTTATCTCAGGATCAACAGACTCAGATATTCAGGTGTATCAATGCAAAGCAGAATTGGCTCTTTTTATGGCAGGATTTGGTGAGGTGGAGATGTCAGAAAGTGATGATTGTGCTAAGAGCTGTGCTGTGTGGAAGTTGTACCACATGCTCTTCCAAGACCGGCATTGGGCACTTGTTCATCTGGCACTTGCAGCGTTTGGCTATTTTTCTGAACGTACCACTTGCAATCAGTTGTGGAGATTTGTGCCCCAGGATGCTGCTCTTTCATATGATTTGGAGTCTGGAAATGAGCCAAATGAGGAGAGATTTATGTCTGAGTTCAAGGCATTTCTTGAGAAGGAACTGGCTCTTCTTACAGTTACACATAGATCTGAGCAGCTTGGGTTGTTAGTGAAGGAAGGTTTGATGCTTAGAGAAGTAGTCCAAAATATTTCAAATATGGAGTCAGAACCAATGGAATGTCAAAGCATGGAACTTGATGGTGAAAACCAATCTAATAAGAGAAGAAAACTTCCTGATGAATTAAGTAAAGGAATGGAATTACTACGGAATGGTTTAAAAGTTATTGGTGATGGCATTTCCCATTGGCAGCAAAACCAGTTTGACTCCACTGAACTTCAGGAGAAGCTTTTGGCATCCTTTTCTCGTCTTGAAGATGCGATTTCTCACCTAGCAGGCCTGACGGACAGTGGCTAAGTTGTGGTTTTCAGCTCTCCGCTCGTAATTTGCTGCAATGATATAACAGGGTTCTGAATTTATGTTATATGGCAGGCTCTCTGAGGATTATAAGCGAACTGCGTTCTAAGCATGATGGATATGGCTTCCGCAGATATGTCAGACTAACTATCTGTTGGCTTCAGGAAGCCATATTTGACGTTCCAACGGAAATAGAACCATTTCTCAAACCTTACAAGGTAATCTAATACAAGTTCTCTATAATATTGGTCGGTCATATTGAAACCATTACCAATGAGTGTTGCAGTCGTAGAATGATGTGGTTGCATTTGCATGAAAATTTGTCAAGTCTCACTTTGAATATTATGTATATGGTCTGAGGAATCGTCCTGTGTGGCACCTAAACATGTCTTCATAGAGGCACGATTTTTATGTATCCTACACTGACATTTAATGTGGATATTCCAAAGATAGGAAATGGAAGTATGAGTCTATGATGATAACATGGCATTTGACTATTAAACTATCAGGATTTTGGGCAAAAGAATTCTCCTTATTGGATACTAATTGTCTTTAGAGAGTCATTGATTTTTATTTTTATTTGAATGAATTGATCGGTTCACTTACATGATTTAGAAAGAAAATCAGTTTTACAATAATATTATACTAACAAAGATTCTACACAAAGTCGTTTATATAAAGTGATGTGTCAAAATATGATTGAATGAATCAATATAAAAATTAACTTAATAAATGTATATTAAATGATAATGATTGATTTTTATATTAATTCATCCAATCATATGTTGACACGTCATTTTATAAGAAATATTTTATATAATATTTTTATAAGTGTAGTATTACTCTTAGTTTTAAGTCCTAGTCAAATGTGTAAATTTTTTTTTTTTTGTTTTTTGTTTTTTTGAATTTTAAGAGTAATACCATATATATACAACCTTTGCATTTTAAGAGTAGTACCATATACAGTATATACAACCTTTGCATTTTAAGAGTAATACCATATATATACAACCTAATGTAAAAATATGGTGTGGATTCATTGCATGTATCCCTTGCTTAATAATATGGAACGTGGATCTTTTTCCTATTTATCTGTTAATATGTTTTAATATTTTAATAGAGGGATCATTATACATTATAGAGGTCTGCATTATAAATGTGTTTTATTTAATCTTTATCATTAGTCAAGAGGTCACGTTGAGCCAATCTTTTTAACATGGTAACTTTTCGGAGAAGAGACAAAAATACTTCTCCTAGGCTTCGTTTGGCAGCTTATTTTTTTCTTTAAAAATAAATAAATTATAGATATTTAGTGAAGGCTTGTGAGAATGGAGGCATGCACATATTTTATTGTATAAAATAAATAATGAAATATTCTTATTTATAATCATCTAGACTCATTTAATTCTCAAAAGGTCAAGGGTTTATTTAAAGAAAAATCACATGATTTAACTTATTTGTCATTAATAAAAAAATAATAAGGATAAAAATAGTCTGAATGCTTTAGACTACCAGGACTGGTATGGTTTAACATACTTTAACTAGATTGATAAATTATATTGTTAAATGTAAGATTCAATATTTTAATATAATTTAACCTTATATATTAGTAATATATTATTTGTTGGTTCATTAGATGTGTAATTGGTAAGTTATTAGATTTTGTGGTTGGATTTGTATTTCAAATAAGACCTTCATATATTAGGAATTTATAATTATTGAGTTGGTTATATACTAATTAACTTTGTATCTCAACATTTAACTCCAAAGTGATATAGGTTTGATTTAGAATTGACATTATATATGTATAATAGAAATGTGATTTGAGGAATGAATAAGCATTCTCTTTAAAGCTTTTATAGTTTTATTTCCTCTCTACTTCAAACAAAGCTATGCGGAAGCATAAAAATCATAAACTTGTCAAGAATCCAATAGAGTTGATGAAATTCTAGTATAATACTGGGATTCGACATCCATAGTGAAAAGACTTCACTCAAACTTATAGAAACAAACAATTATGTATGTTTTTTTGCGAACTAATGGTGCACATATTTGGGCCGTATAACTGAAAGTCCAATATCTCCCACTCATTAGTGCAAAATTCAAAACACCATCATATCTGTTTTTTCATATCTTTTCAGATAATTGGGACAATTTATACAAGCCGAAGGCTCTCTAAACTACCAACTCCAATAGAGTCAACGTAGAGACATCAAATCACAAAGAAACAAAAACAAAAATAGTGTTTTGTAATGCTCCAAATCCATTCAATCACGTTTAATCCTTCCAAGAGAATAATTTTGTTTTGAAATGCAAATTGTGGAGAGTGGGTATCCAGCCGATACAGAGCTATAAACAAGATTGTGTTTATCTAATTTGGGAGCCACTCTAATTTAAATTAATGGATACTTTTATAGGTCACATCATTGCTTCACGCTGTCAGATATACCAAATATTTGCTTGGATGAGATAACATGAATCTAGAGAAAAGTTTCTTATATAATTTCTCTCCCACCTTACTTTAGCGGGAGAGATTTTTTATTATGTAGAAAAAGCAACATTAAGATTGCCCTTAAAAATTATTTGATAGAGAAATAGTATTTTGATTTCGATAACAGTTGGTCATCAGAATTAAAAATTCATGTTGTTGGAAACATAAAATTATTGGTAACAAACTTCTTGTCCAAAACTATTACCGATCCTCAATTCCTCATATATATGATTCATTCTTCATATACATTAATGTGGGTCATAATTAAACTTTTTTATATTATATATGTGAGTAAACGATTTTTTCTCACCCAAATAATAGCTTAATGATACTTTCTATAGACTTTTAAAATTTTACTTTACTATCTAAATTTATGTTCGGTTTTCGATTCCTGTATCATTGCGATTCCAAACCACCACTATTCTCTTCTTCAATGATCACTCACTAAAACCCTTCAAATCCTACTCCCGTCGACCTTGCCAATTGTTAGAAATCGAGCAATTAGGGTTGCGCAATCACCCCTCCTAAGTTAAATTCTAATAAATTCCAACCATCAAAATCAACCCTTCCACCATTAAAAGATTCATCGGTCTCTCTTCTTCAAAAACCTTAATAGTTTGAACCGAGTTTGATTTCTGTTTACTATAAAAATATAAATTTCAATAAAAAAATAGCATTTTAAAAGTTGGTGGATAGGAAAGTGTCATTAAATCATTATTTGAAAAGGAAAAAGTCGTTAACTCTATACATGTTGATAAGAAATTTTATAAGCTAAACTAATCAATACCCACCATAAAATAAAGGATGTGATCATATTCTTATATAATAAAAACAAAGAAACAACGCATGAATCCTTTGCGGCTTTACCAATGGCAACTTGTGATACAACATAATCCCGTATCTGAAACTACTTGTAAGAGGTCACATCACTACTTGTGTCTTTCCTGTTTAGTATCTCACGGAATATCATATTTACTTAGATACGATAATAAAATAACCTTATTTCAGATTTGGTGTTCTCTTCTTTGATTATTTTGTTAAGAGTAAACGACATAGTTCCCACCCAAGGTTTATTAAAAATACAAGTTCTCACCCCTGATTTCATAAATTCTACATTCGCACCCTTAAATTAACCAAAAATCATTTAATATAACGGTTAAAGAGTATTTATGTCTTTTTACCAAAATTTTCTCACAACCCAGCCCATCTTCAACTCCACCGCCGCTGCCACCGCCACCAACCCACCACCATCCCTTTGCCGCCTCAAACACCATCTCCCAGCCGTCGCTAAACCCAAATCATCTCCCAACTGCTAGAAAACCCACACCATCTACCAGTTGTCGCAAAACCCATCTAAGCGACTTTTCATCTTCCACGGTCGTAGGACTTTTCGGCCAACCTTCGGTGCCAACCTGTCAACAAACCTCGCCACCCACATCATAACCCCAGCACAAGCACCATAACCCCAATCATCATTTAACTCAACCAAACCTTAGGGAAAGGGCCTTCAATCAACGGTGAAAACAGGGTGAACAGGATTGAGAAATAAGGGGGTTTTGGAGAAGGCTGCCCGATGAGTCGAATGGCTGGGTAGGGGATGATTTCTAGTGGAGAGGGTGGCCGAAAAAAGGCTGGGAATTTGGGCAAAAAACACAAAACCCAAATAGGAATGGGAATGGGGTGGTTTGGAATGGGACGGTACAAGGGTAGTTTTGTAATAGCACTTGTCGAAGCTCCACAGTCACTAACAGAGTCACTTTAAGAGTGAGAATCTAGAATAAATGAAATAAATGGTGGAAAGTTGCCATTTCACTTATCTTTGGGTGGGAACATATCGTTTGCTCTTTTGTTAATTGCCCCATCATTCAATATCAAACTTCTTCTTTCCGCCGTTTTTTGATCAGACAGATGTGTTAGAAATTAGGATCCTTATCATAACCATTATCATAATTACTATGTTTTATTTTAAACTATTTCTTCATTTATCATGTCTCAATTCTTTATTTACTATTTTACTCAGATTTATAATGGAGCCTTTGATTAAAGTTTTAATTAGCGTGTGGTGTATGAGAAGATATTATTTAGAAATTTTTTATGTATATAAATTTTAATTAAGGACCATAGTCACATAATTTAAAATATAGACTTTTACGGTATATCGTTTATGTCATACACAAGCATAGTATTAATTAGTCAACATTACTTTTTATTCTTTTTTCTTTCTATAAGGTCTTATGGTATAATTTTTTTCTTTTAAAGATATGATATTTTATACATATATTGAAACAGTATATCGACTGCCCTTTTTTATAATACAATTACTTTTTCTTTTAAATTCTTCCAGTGCACCTCACTTTGATAAAATAGTAAAATTATTCCAAATTAATTAAGTGCAAATATAAGGTAATTAAACATTTATGGGGATTAACATATAAAATCTCTAACCATATTTAGTCCCTAATAAAAGACATTCCAAAAACACCTCATTTTGCATTATAAATCAGAAACACCACAATCCACATCGACAAAACAACACTACCGTTTTTCCACAAAATCACAGCATGAATATTCACAGTAGCATTTTGCTTATACTTCTCGTCGCTTTAGGCATCATTTTCATCTCTCTGTTCCAACCGGAGCAATATTTCTTCGGTACAGAATACGACGTTCGTGTCATAAACGGCTTCTCCAACAACTCCTCATTGCCTTTGGTCATTTGGTGCTCCTCCGAGGACAGTGATCTAGGCGGACGTGCGCTCCAAGAAGGCGACGATTTCAGTTGGAGACTCAAAACCAACTTCTGGGGCACCACAAATTTCTTGTGCACCATGAAGTGGGAAGGAAAAAGAAAACGTTTTGATGCGTTTAAAGTTCGAAGGGATTGCCGCCGGTGTAACCCTTTTAGAAAGTGTTCTTGGCTTGTGAAAGAAGACGGATTTTACTTCAGCAACGATGAAGTGAACTGGAAAAAAGACTTTCCATGGTACTAAATCAATAAATTAATACAGTGCAGTTCGGTTTTAAATTTTTTGCAGTGCGTTATGATGAGGAATAGTGACGCGTATGTTTGCCTTTTTTTTGTGTACTGAAGGTGATAGTCACAGCTACCAATAAGTTAAAACTATGTAAAAGTTTGTCAGTGGTCACTACATCTTATGATTGTTATCTGGTATCATAATGGCCACAATATATTATAATGCTGTTGAGCTTGTGATATCTTTCTCTGCAGATTGTTCTTCTCACTGTAGTTACTGACCAGAAACAGATGGATGACTCTGACAGAAAAATATTTTTGTTCTTTGAATTTCCTCAAAATCAATGTTTTTTAACTGCTGGACAAATCCAATAGAGTAATGTTATATTTGCTCACCATCTTACTAATTATTTTATTATCCTTTATAAATATAACGTATAATACAGGTACCGTACGTATAATATGAATACTATGTATAATTTTAACAAAAGTAATAAGGCAATTAGTAAAACTTGTGAGTAAACATAGTATTTCTGAATCCAATAATATGGGAGATTGCAGTATCCGGTACAGATTTAGTTTTAGTTTTCTCTTTAAGTTCAATTTTGCTATTGCTTTCTGTCGGTAGAAAAACAGTTGTATTTCTTTGGGGACTATTGGTCTATTTTCGGCCCCAGTGCCCTAAAAAAATAGTGCTAAAGGCTCTTCTCTTGGTTTCTTTTATTTGTTTGTTTGCTTTAAAATATTCTATGAATTTCTGTATCTAAATGTTAAGGTATGTTTCAAAAGGAAGATCGATCGTTGGCGTAAAAAATAAGAGTTAAATCTTCTCCTAAACCTAGTTTTCACTATAATAAATATAAAAATGCTATTGATCATTGTCAATAAAAATGTACATATAGTAAAAAAGAAAAATAACTAATTAATTACAAAGATCCTAGAAAAACTCATATTAGGAAAGATATTAATCCCATTAAAAAAATATATTTATTTTAACCTAGAAAATATCCAGAGAGATTGAATGTTAGCTGAGTGTGAACGAACGACCTAGTGAGAGTTATATTCTATTGAGGTTTGCATGAATATTCGTAGATTGGGATTTGACTAATTAGAGTACACTGTGGACTCATATTGGCATGGGCTGTTCATCTAGCAAGCTTATCGTCCTTAGACTAATCTTGAATCACAAAATACACAGGAAAAAAATTGTATGGTGGAGTTATTTTGGATAAATTAAAACAACCCATTTCATTTCACAATAAATGTTTTATAAATATATAAATGAAAAAGATCAGTAAAGAAAGAAAACAAGGGGAGGCAAAAAACCAGATTGTTGTAGGTATACTGCGATGAAGAAAGAAAGGAAAAAAAAAAAAAAACATGAATTGAAAGTCGAAAGAATTAACATCGATCTTTCTTTAGTGGTGGTCAACATCAGCATAACAAAAAAAGGAATGATTCACTTGTTGCAAATGTAATGTTACTTTCAGTTCATCAACCTTTTTATCTCGTCACTGTTCCACAACAGGATATCACTTTTTTTTTTTTTTAATTTTTAAATTTCTTTCTGAATATGTATGCAAACTTTTGGTTTAAGATGATTTGCATGCATGAATATTTTATTATTAGTACGAGTTGATTAGTTGTATATATACATGGTATAAATTAATTAATTGAACAGTACTACTTTTTTTTTTTTATTATCAAGTATATGGTTTTTTGTAAAATAATTGATATATAATTTTGAAATATTTTAATTAATATTTTTAAGTGTTTGTGGAGTGGGGAGTCCACATAATAGTGGGACGCATCAAATGATTTAATAGTGACAATGAAGTAAGTGAGTGACAGAGTAGAATCAATCAAACATATATAGTTGATCTCAGTGTACTACTTCAAACCAAAGCCACTTCCATCGCCATTGTAACTTCATTGCCAAGATGGATACAAATAATAAACCACTACATATAGCACCAACCTCTTTCGTTTCTTCAAAAGAAATCCTCTTTCCTTTTTATATATACATGGTGGCTTTACAGACATTATTATACTACACCAAATTGTATCATATCTTATAACAATTAATAATAAAATTATTGTTCATAAAGGATTTTCTTTAAGGCTTAAATAAATAGCATAACATGAAATCTCATATAGAATAATTAATGGTAGTTTCTGCAAGAAGTCCATATATAATCTTTAGTTTAAAAACGTTTAACATAATGGTAATGTGATATGTGAAATAAAAAGTTTTAGAGTGTGAAGGAACAGTTACATGAGAAGACATATTAAACAATCTTCCTTGATTGTGGTGATCCTACAATAATCATATGATATGTAATTTGTTATTCCTTATAAGCACATTATTTTTGTATAAATTAACACTTTCTGTACAGACAAATTATATAGAAATATATACAATTCGTAGTAAAAGCTCTCTTTCTCTACGGGTGTTCGGATGTCTTTGTTAGTCCACAATTGTTGGTCCACGGACAAATTTGGGCCTCGTGCATAGATGTGTTTTCATAGGGTATCCAATGTACAAAAAGGGTATTGTCTCTACAATCCAGAGGAACAAAGATTTCTAATAGTCGTGATGTGATATTTCACGAGAGTTTTTCTATTCTTTGACCTTGTAAAAGAATCCACTTCAGGGTTACTCACTCCTGCCTGCTCCTATTGTCTGAGCCACTTAATGGCACTCCTCTGACACTCATTCCAATTCCAAAATCTCAACCTCTATCGAGTTGATATTACGACATCAGAGGAACCAATAGAAGATGGCACAAATAGTACATTACCAACACCCACCATCACAGTCAATGATTCCTCCAATGATTGCATCTTGATGGTTCCTTTCACCTAGCATTGAACCAATACTGTTAGAAAATCTTAGAATTTCTAGACCCCTTGTGTGTACATGATTACATTTGTTCCAACACCATAGGTATTATCTATCCCACATCTACATATGTCAGTTTTGATCGCTTGTCTCCTAAGCACAAGGCATGTATGACCAACATTTATGTTGATAGAGAACCTTCCTCTTATTCAGACGCTATACACCATCCATAATGGTGTCTTGCTATAGAGGCCGAACTTAATGGTCTTGTTACAAATCATACTCGGGATTTGGTTGCTTGACTCACTCACAGGAAACCCATTGGCTGCAAATGAGTATACAAAATCAAATACCAAGCAGATCGTTCAGTGGAATGATACAAAGCCCGCCTTGTTTCCAAAGGCTTTACTCAACGAGAAGGTTTTGACTATCAGGAAACATTTTCACCCATGGCTAAACATGTTACTGTACGGGCTTTTCTCTTTGTGGCATTTCATCGTGATTGGGAACTTCATCAAATGGATGTTCACAATGCATTTCTCCACGGTGACCTCGATGAAAAGATTTATATGGACATTCCATCAGGTCTTTGTAATCAAAGGGAGAATCTTGTATGTCGATTGAGAAAGTCCCTTTATGGACTAAGCATCTTGACAATGGAATGCCAAATTTACAGAGGCTCTTACTACTATAAGCTTCATACAATCCAAACATGACTATGCTTTCTACACTCGACATCAAGGTAAATCCTTCATCAGTCTTATGGTGCATGTCGACATATTCTTATCATAGGAAATGATGAAACTGCCGTCAAAACACTAAAAGAGCAATTGCATAAGTCATTTAATATCAAAGATTTGGGAGCACCCAAAATATTTTATGGGCATTGAAATTGCAAGTTCCTCAGCAGCAATATCTCTCAGTTAACAAAAATACGTACTAGAATTAATCTCGGATTTAGGGTTATCAGCTTGTAGACCAAGTATTATTCTCGTGGAATAAAACATGAAAGCTTACTACTCAAGATTCAAAAACAAATCTACTCCTTGATGATAGTTCTAGTTATCAAAATTTGGTCGGTTGTCTCATCTACTTGACAATGACACGACCTGATATCTACTATGCAGTCCAAATTCTCAGCCAATTTATGCATGCACCAAAGCAATTACATAAGGAAGCAATAGTAAAAGTCTTCAAATACCTGAAAGGATGCCCAGGGCTAGGACTCCTCTTGCCTCGAGCAGAAAACTTGAGTCTCAAAGCATATTGTGGTTCAGATTGGGGTCATGCCCTACGACAAGAAGATCCCTCACTGGTTTCTACATCAAATCGAGGAATCATTGATCTCATGGAAGACAAAAAAATAGTCAACAATATCTCTTTCATCAGCAGAAGCCGAATACAGAGCAATGGGCAAAACCACATGCGAGATCACATGGATTCTTAGGTTATTGAAAGATCTGGATATTCAGATAGAAATACCTATTGAATTATACTATGACAAAAAAGTGACGAATGACATTGCGGTTAATCCAGTATTTCATAAGAGGACAAAGCACATAGAAATTGACTGCTACTTTATGAGAGACAAAGTACAGGAAGGGATGATCAAGACTAAGCACATTCGAACCATAGATTAGCCAGCTAACATCTTCACAAAGCCTCTAAGTCACAAACAACATTCACATCTTTTAAACAAGCTTGAAAGTTTGTGATATATATAAGCCACCAGTTTGAAGGGGAGTGTTGATATGTGAAACAAAAGGTTTTAGCTTGATTGAAGGAACAGTTACATGAGATAGATTACACAATCTTCTCCTTGATTGTGGTGATCCTACAATTAATCCTATGATTATATAATTAGTTCTTTACTTACATAGCACATTATTTTTGTATAAATTGACACTTTCTATATAGACAAATACATAAGAAATATATATAATTCTTAGCAAAAGCTCTCTTTCTCTTTCTCTCTATGGCATACTTTGGCAACATAATTGCCTCTCTTGCCCTCTTTTGACAGTAATTGTTATGCTTATTCCCATCGAAGAATGATATTAAAGGTTCCTGAAATGTTACATTTGTTCGATGAAAGATTAAATTTACTCACATGTTTTAATATCAAAAATCTTTTGATGATTTTGGAAACTATATAACGACAGAGTCTTTAAACTAAAGGTTATTGACCTTAATAAAATTATCTACAGGTGAATGAGCAGTATTACTCATACAAAGGTTGTATATAAAGTAAAGTGACATTGCTCTTTACAATTCATTTAATGAGT